AGAAATGTAAGAAAGCAAAATGGCTGTCTGGGGAAGCTTTACAAATAGCTGAGGAAAGAGGGGAAGTGAAAGGCAAGGGAGAAAGAGAAAGATATACCCATCCTGGAATGTGAAGTCAAATGGGCCTTAGGAAGTCTGAGCAACAGCAAAGCTAGTGGAGGTGACAGTATTCCAGCTGAGCTATTCAAAATCTTAAAAGACGATGCAGTAAAAGTGCTACACTCCTTATGCCAGCAAATTTGGAAAACTCAACAGTGGCCGCAGGATTGCATTCCAATCCCAAAGAAGGGCAATGCCAGAGAATGTTCACACTACTGCACCATTGCACTCATTTCACATGCCATCATAGTTATGCTCAAAATCCTACAGGCTAGGCTCCAGCAGTATGTGGACCGAGAACTACCAGAAGTACAGGAAGGATTTCGAAGAGGGAGAGGAACTAGAGAAGAGGGAGAGAGAACTAGGCAAATCTACTTCTGCTTCATTGACTATGCTAAAGCCTTTGATTGTGTGGATCACAACAAATTGTGGCAAGTTCTTAAAGAGATGAGAGTACCAGACCATCTTATTTGTCCCTTGAGAAACCTATATGTGGGTCAAGAAGCAACAGTGAGAACTGGACACGGAACCACTGATTGGTTCAAAATTGAGAAAGGAGTTTGGCAAGGCTGTATACTGTCGACCTTCCTATTTAACATATATGCGGAGCACATCATGAGAAAGGCGGGGCTAGACGAATCACCAGTTGGAATTAAGATTGCTGGGAGAAATATCAACAACCTCATATATGCAGATGGTACCACTCTAATAGCAGAAAGTGAAGAGGAACTGAGGAGCCTCTTGATGCGGGTGGAGAGTGCAAAAGTTGGCTTGAAACTCAACATTAAGAAAACTAAGATCATGGCATCCGGTCCTCTTACTTTCTGGCAAATAGATGCGGAAGAAATGGAGGTAGTGATGGATTGTATTTTCCTGGGCTCCAAGATCACTGCAGACAGGGACTGCAGCCAAGGAATTAAAAGACGCTTGCTCCTGGGGAGGAAAGCTATGGCAAATCTAGACAGCATACTAAAAAGCAGAGACATCACCCAGCCAACAAAAGTGTGTATAGTCAAGGCTATGGTTTTCCCATATGGTGTGGGAATGGTTGCAATGTATGGCTGTGAAAGTTGGACCATAAGGAATGCTGAACGCTGAAGAATTGAGGCCTTTGAATTGTAGTGCTGGAGAAGACTCCTGCAAGTCCCTTGGACTGCAAGGTGATCAAACCAATCCGTCCTATTTATTTATTTATTTATTTATTTTCCGATTTATATCCTGCCTTTTTTCTACAAAGGGCTCAAGGCAGCTTACATCATTCTCCTCCTCCATCTTATCCCCACAACAACAACCCTGTGAGGTAGGTTGGGCTGAGAGTCTGTGACTGGCCCAAAGTCACCCGTTGGCTCCATGGCTGCGCGGGGACTAGAACCCAGATCGCCTGAGTCCCAGTCCCATGCTCTTAACCACTACGCCACACTGGCTCTCATGTCCTAGAGGAGATCAACCTTGACTGCTCTTTAGAAGGCCAGATGTTGAAGATGAAACTCATATACTTTGGCCACCTAATGAGAAGGAAGGACTCACTAGAGGAGTCCGTAATGCTGGGAACAATTGACGGCAAAAGAAGAAAAGGATGGCAGGGGATGAGGTGGCTAGATGGAGTCACTGAAGCAGCCGGTGTGAGCTTAAGTGGACTCCGGGGGATGGTGGAGGACAGGAAGACCTGAAGGAATGTTGTCCATGGGGTTGCGATGGGTCAGACAGGACTTCATGACTAGCAACAGCAGGCAGCTCTATTAGTTTGAAAATATCTGGGTGCCTTGGCCTCTGTTTTAGTTTTAGATAAAGGGAGTGCCCCCCCCCCCCGTTTCTCTCTGTCTCTCTCTGGATTTCTTCTGGACCTTTCAGTCTTGACTGACACCTCTCGTCATGAAATGAAAATGGCATTTAACATTATATTTTGTTGCTGCTTTGCTCATGCTGTTAGTTAGAAAAATACATTCTGTTTGCAGCTTCTAGGCATTTGTCTCTCAACTTGAAAACTTAAACATCTCAAAAAGAGAAGTTTTTGCCATCTAAATTAAATCAGTGAAGCTCACATGAGTTAAGAGGACTAGCTGAAGTTGTGGTGGTTCATGTGGATGCTTTGACTTGTCATGGACCTTCTCCAGTCCTCCCGCATGTCAGGGGAATCCCTGGAGATGGTGCGCTGTTACTTGATTGCTTGTGGCAGTTTATAGATTTGAATCTATACAGGACCCTGCACCGCTGTGGTTGGGAAGTGGATGAAATGTGGACACAATTCATATACATTTCTATTTAAGCAACGAAGAACCAGTTCCAGCCTGCACTGCACATATACAGGGACCAGTTCTTTGTTGAGGAAGGCAAGTGGCATTCCTCTAAGCCAACTTACACTTCTAGGAGCAGGAAGGAATACAGCCACTCAGAGTGCCTTTCCTTTGGATTGAGCAAAGCTACACTTTCAAGGGGGACCATCTTGGACACAGAGAACAGTGCTTGGTGAAGCACTCCTATTACTCCAACTTACTGCCAAGATGGTACTCCACTTACGGTATATCACAGAAGTGAGTACACCCCTCACATTTTGTAAATATTATCTTTTCATGTGACAACCCTGAAGAAATGACACTTTTCTACAATGTTAAAGTAGTGAGTATACAGCTTGTATAACTGTGTACATTTGCTGTCCCCTCAAAATAACACACAGCCATCAATGTCTAAACCGCTGGCAACAAAAGTGAGTTCACTCCTAAGTGAAACTGTCCAAATTGGGCATTATTAGCCATTTCCCCTCCCCGGTGTCATGTGACTCATTAGTGTTACAAGGTCTCAGGTGTGAATGGGGAGCAGGTGCGTTAAATTTGGTGTTATCACTCTCACTCATACTGGTCACTGGAAGTTCAACATGGCACCTCATGGCAAAGAACTCTCTGAGGATCTGAAAAAAAAAGAATTGTTGCTCTACATAAAGATGGCCTACGCTATAAGAAGATTGCCAAGACCCTGAAACTGAGCTGCAGCACGGTGGCCAAGACCATACAGTGGTTTAACAGGACAGGTTCCACTCAGAACAGACCTCACCATGGTTGACCAAAGAAGTTGAGTGCACGTGCTCAGCGTCATATCCAGAGGTTGGCTTTGGGAAACAGACGTATGAGTGCTGCCAGCACTGCTGCAGAGGTTGAAGGGGTGGTGGGTCAGCCTGTCAGTGCTCAGACCATATGCCGCACACTGCATCAAATTGGTCTGCAGGGCTGTCGTCCCAGAAGGAAGCCTCTTCTAAAGATGATGCACAAGAAAGCCCGCAAACAGTTTGCTGAAGACAAGTGGATTAAGGACATGGATTAGTGGAACCATGTCCTGTAGTCTGATGAGACCAAGATAAACTTATTTGGTTCAGATGGTGTCAAGCGTGTGTGGCGACAACCAGGTGAGGAGTACAAAGACAAGTGTGTCTTGCCTACAGTCAAGCATGGTGGTGGGAGTGTCATGGTCTGGGGCTGCATGAGTGCTGCTGGCACTGGGGAGCTACAGTTCATTGAGGGAACCATGAATGCCAACATGTACTATGACATACTGAAGCAGAGCATGATCCCCTCCATTTGGAGACTGGGCCGCAGGGCAGTATTCCAACATGATAACGACCCCAAACACACCTCCAAGACGACCACTGCCTTGCTAAAGAAGCTGAGGGTAAAGGTGATGGACTGGCCAAGCATGTCTCCAGACCGAAACCCTATCGAGCATCTGTGAGGCATCCTGAAACGGAAGGAGGAGGAATGCAAGGTCTCTAACATCCACCAGCTCTGTGATGTTGTCATGGAGGAGTGGAAGAGGACTCCTGTGAAGCTCTGGTGAACTCCATGCCCAAGAGGGTTAAGGCAGTGCTGGAAAATAATGGTGGCCACAGAAAATATTGACACTTTGGGCCCAATTTGGACAGTTTCACTTAGCGGTGTACTCACTTTTGTTGCCAGTGGTTCAGACATTGATGGCTGTGCGTTGAGTTATTTTGAGGGAACAGCAAATTTACACTGTTATACAAGCTGTATACTCACTACTTTACATCGTAGAAAAGTGTCATTTCTTCAGGGTTGTCACAGGAAAAGATATAATAAAATATTTACAAAATGTGAGGGGTGTACTCACTTCTGTGATATACTGTATACACACTTTGGGGCAACTGCACTTAGCTGCTTGGTGCAGCTTAAAAACAAGAGTGTGTATTTGGGAAAAGTGCAGAAAGGGCAGCTAAAATGATCAAGTGGTTGGAGCAACTACTCTATTAGGAAAGGTTACATCTGTTAAGATTGTTTAACTTAGGGAAAAGGTGAATAAAGGGAGACATGATAGAGGTGTTCAAAATTATATATAGTGTTGAGAGTGGGGTAGGGGAGAGTTTTCTCCCTCTCCCATAATGCTAGAATCTGGGGTTATCTCATGAAGTTGATTTGTAGGAGATCCCTAATGCAGATAAAAGGAAAGTCTTCTTGACATAGTGGATAGTTGAACTATGAGACTTACTTCCACAAGATGTGGTTTTGGCCACCAATGTAGGTGGCTTTAAGATCGGATTGATGAAATTCATGGAGCAGGCAGCTATCAATGGCTGCTAGACCCAGTGGTTATACTGTCTTCATTATCAAATGCAGCATACCTATGTACACCAGTTGCTGGGGAACTTGGACTGCAGGGTAATGTTGCACTCATATCTTGTTTGGGGTATCCTGTGGTAGCTGGTGGCAACTGTGAACAGATTGCTTGACTCGATGGACAATTAGTCTGATCCAGCACAGCAATTTTTATGTTCTTATCTCTGTCATTACATGAATTTTAACATCAATCTGGTAAATCTTTGAATTTTTTAAAGTACTATGTAATCAATAATTGGTCTTTTCACAGGTAACCAAAATCTTCTCTTGGTTTCTTGGCAGGTAACTGTTTTGGTCCTTTTCGCCCTTGCATTCCTTACATGCATTGTATTTCTGGTAGTCTACAAGGTTTACAAGTATGACCATACCTGTCCGGAAGGTTTTGTTTTCAAGGTAAAGTATACAAACTTTTGGGGGTTTTTAAACCATGATACTTCCTAGGGCATTGTCTTTCCCCAGGCTCACATTTTATTATGTAATTTACACATAAGTAGATCTAAAATATAGTCCTTCTAGAATATGATCATCTGGATGGTAATAAAATAGGTCCCCAAATTTCAACTACCTTTTACATTTTTCTGTTATGGGACATAAAATCCTTGTCTTTGGGGTGCTTTTGGCACCCTGCACTATATAAGTGTCTTAGGACACAAAATGTCTTGTATCTTTTTGAGGTTACTATAATTCATCTTTATGCAGTTGTCCGTTGCAACTGCCAGAATAAGGGTAAATCTCCTCCTCCCAAAAGCTGAGGAGTTTAAATCTTTATTATGCTGATTGCAAACTGATGGGGCAAAAATTAAGTTACAGCTAACCTCTGCTAGTTGAAATCTGAAATCTATTGTTATGTTGATGGTAAGCTGATGAAGGGAAGGGGAGAATCAGTTAAACAGTTGCTTTTCATAGGGATATATACTTCACCAGTTCTGCGTATGGGACAGAAAAAAATGGCCCAAAAGACAAACGCTAGTGTTCAAAAATTACACATACACACACGTTGGCTTCCAGTTCATGCCAATTTATGTTGGTAGTCTGTGGTTCAAAAACAGTTTTTATTGTTTCCAACATTTGCTGTTTGAAGAGTCTTACATTTTGGTTACTTTATATGCAAATGTTAATATATATGCAAACAAACATTCCACCTTGTATGTTTTGTGTTTTTTGGATATGGGTGTTTTGGTATACCACACTTCACATGGTGAAAACAAAAATGGTATAGTGGGGCATTTTTATACCCCCTAAATTTATTGTTCCAAAAGGACCATACATCCGACCTGAAGATACAAGGTTTAACTGTTGGGTTGGGTTTAACTCAGGTACAGTGGTACCTCGGCTCACAAATGCCTCAGTTCATGACCAGATCGGGTCGTGAACTAAAATTTCATAAAAATTTTGACTCAGGTTGCACACTCTGCATTGGGTGGTGACTGCGATCGCTGCCATCTCCCCCCCCCCCCCGCAGAGTGGGGAGATAGCCGCAATCGTGCTGGGGGCGGGGAGATGGCTGAGATCGCGCCCATCTTTCCTCCACTAGCGCACCTGTGATTGCACCCGTCTTTCCTGCATGAGTGCAACCGCGATCTCAGCCATCTCCCCTCCCCCAGCACAAGCACACCCATCTCTCCCCCACAGCGCACCGGGATGATGGGCATGTGCAGGGATGATGGGTGCAATTGTGGTTGTGCTGTGTGTGGGGGGAGATGGCTGGGCTTGTGCTGGCGCTGGGGGGGGGGGGGGGGGGGGGGGGGAGATGGTTGCAATCTTTGTTCTTTGTCATTTTGCTTCTTCACATTTTTCTGATTAAAAAAAAAAAGTTACAGAATGGATTAACCTTATTTACATTGAACCTTATGGGGAAATTTAACTTGGCTCATTACCAATTTTGGTCATTACCAGAGTCCTGGAATGGATTAAGTTCGTAAGCCAAGGTACCACTGTACATCACAATATGCTTTCTGCCAGCATGGCCTCACTTGGCTTAGTAAGGAAAACAAGAATGGATGAATAATAATGAACAAGTAAGGTGTATAAAATTATGAAAGACATGGAGAACCTGACTCGGTAATTTTTTCACACTCATTCAGTTTAATTTTCAGTTCAGTTCAATTCTATCCTGCCTAGTACAAGACCTCAAAATACAGTATTATACATAATTTAAAAGCAGTATAGCTGCAAACATTATAAAAAGAGCAAGCACACATATGTAGATATAGTTAAGCAATATTTCGTGACAGATTAAAAACCTATTATATGCTGCCAAATACTTGGGATGAGAAGCAAGTCTTAACCTGACCCTGAAAATATAACAAGGCAAGATTTTTTTATATTTGGCATTAGGAGGCTCTTGCTGGGGATTTCAGTCTGTAATTGTAGGGCTGACATGGCACCTAGAGAAGGAACTTAGATGACGAGTGTGGTGTATGGTTAGGTTCATGCTGGGAGAGACACCCCATCAGGTGTTGTGGCCTCGAGGTGTGTAGGGTTTTCTAGGTCAAAAAGCCAGGCTGTGCAAGTGGCCAGAATCAGTGTTACATGTTCAGAGTGTCTTGTCCATGTTATCAGCTGGACTGCTACCTTTGGCCCGAGCTGCTGCTTTCGAGCTGTCTTTGAAGGCTTAGTGCATCGCAGTAACTTGACTTGGAGATTACCAGGGCATAGGCCGCTGAAGCCAGGTTATTCCTGCCTGGATGTGGGCAAACCTGAGGCGTCAGCCAAAGACCAGCTGGGTCTCAGGGGACACAGATTATAAATTTGCTCCTTAGGAAAACCTCAAGTATAGATGTAAAGTTTCTAGAAAATCTGAAGCCATGGAAAATAATACCTTTTGCTGAGGTAAGTAAAATGAGTAAAAATGCTGTGTCAACAACCTTTCAGATTAAAGATCACACTGTCACTTTAGAATCATAAAATGTATTATGTATAACTTGGTTCAACATAGAATGAGCATTTTTGACCTATCAAAGGTACACTTTACTTACACTACACTACATAGAAACATAATTTAACTGTTTAAATTTGTTTGTTTCCTTGCTTGCTTGCGTCTTGAATTCCAAGGAATCTCCTTGGTTTTGCCAGTTTAGGAGGAACAGACATAAAACAATAAAAACAGAGGAAAACCATCCATATTAGTAAATGAAGAGGTATTCCGAGTATGTCACCTCTAGTCCTCTCCTCCATGGTGTCTAGCAGGAATAAACCACCCATTGCCACTGAGGAAAAATGGTGGGGTCGCTGAGCCAATTCAGTGAATATACAGTGAAAATCAGTGACATTTAGTCTCATTTTCTGAGCATTGCTGTCAGTTTCATTTTCTGCTTCTTCATCTTTATGCTCATCATAGTTAATCATGGGCTTCTAAAACCTGAGTTGAAAGAAGCAAGAATATTCAGTGGCTGGATTATGCAAAGGGCACTACCACCACATTGCAAAGGGAATAGAATTCCAAGCTCCATTTCTGGACCAAATCTCTGAAGTTGTTATATATTCTGCAACAACTGAGAGCCCTTTTCCAACACCAAGTCCTAAGTGTGGTTCTTGTTCTGTAATCTAGTCAAATGCAGCACCAGTATGTTCCTCACTTACTTTTCTGTCTTTTAATCTTGAATCCAGTGGATTTGCAGCATGAATTGGGTGACAACCAATTTTTGCCATCTCTTAATAAAATCTAGTTACTCTACTTTCTTCTGTATTTGTAAGCAGAGGTATATTTAGATCATCAAAAGCAGTTGTATTTTGGCCATTCCACTTTGAAAGCCAGTGTGGTGCAGTGTTTGAGAGCGTGGGGCTGGAACTTGGGAGATTTGGGTTCTAGTCCCTGCTCAGGCATGGAGCCAACTTGGGTGACTTGGGGCCAGTCACAAACTCCCAGCCCAACCTACCTCACAGAGTAGATAAGACTGAGAGGAGGAGGAGAATGATCTAAGATGCTCTGAGTTCTTTGCCAGAAAAAAGTGGGATAGAAATCAAATAAAAATAAGTAAATTTGGCAAGGAATTTCTGACAAACCTGAAGTGGCTGACTGAGATGCCATGACTGCTGAATAAAGTGACTTTAGAGACTTCACGGAGTTCTGCAACTGAACTCAGAAGACACCCTCAACAAATACAATGTTCCTTAACACTTCTGCATCCTTTCAGATCTTCAACTGTTACTATTTCTTGAAGAGTTTTTCAGTTATTTAGTAAACTTTCAAAGGAGAACACCACACCATGCACTGGTGTATCTTACAGACTTTCTGTGCTCTTGTTTTATTCTTTGCATTCTTTTTCGTCTGTCTTTTTAAAGACTACAGCTGCAATATGAGTTGCTTTTAACATGTTTTAGAACTGCTTTTGCTCATCTGTAGATCTTTTGGTGAGTGTCCAGTTTCATGTTGTTCTTAAGAGACAAGTACAGTCCACAATTTATGCAGATATGTAGCCCAGTATGCTGCTTTCATATTTTGAAAAAGCAAAACAAAAACTTTACCATTCCCAATTTTTATAGAGATTCACATATTTTGCAACTGCAGTACATATGTTCTCTTGTATTTCAGTGCTTCTACAGAAAACTGGTTGGGGTGTTGTTATGACAAAGTTTATGATGCTTTCTCTATTCACATTTCATAGAATCAGAATATTAGAGTTGGAAAGGGCCAAGAAAGCCATCAGGTCCAACTGCCTGTTCAGGGGAGGAATCCCAGTTAAGCTGTCCCTCTCAGATGGCTGTCCAGCTGCATCCTCAGTGCCTCTAGCATAAAAGAGCCCATAGCCACAACCTTCCTAAGTCACTGGATCCAATGCCATACTGCTCAAACAGTCATGAAGTTCTTCCTTCAGCTCATTTCCTGTAACTTGTTATTTTGTGTCCTGCACTCTGGAATGCTCAAGAAGATCCTGGCCCCTCTCTTTTCCAATTTGCTTGCATCTTTCTTGAAGTGTGGTGCTCAGAACTGGGCACAGTACTCAAGGTGGGGCCTAACTAGTGCTGAATAGAGAGAAATAAGTACTTCACATGATTTGCAAGTGGTACTCCTATAATACAGTTCAATATGGCATTTGCTTTTTTTGGGGGGGGGGCTCATATTCAGCTTGTGATCTACAAAAATGCCAATCTTCTTACTTGCAGTATTGCTGTGAGTTGGTCGAACACAAGCAGAGCCTGGTCCCACAGTAGTTTATGCAGGCAGTTTTCTCGATTTTTACGTGCCTGTTTAGTGAAGGCCTGAAAATGGCCTCACTTACCAATTCTGTGACCTTCTTCAAGACAGAGAAGGCACAGATTGTGAGGAGCAGTAGGGGACATCTTGGCCCCGCACTAAGAACACTTGTGGAAAGCCGCACGCTGAGCCATTGAGAGAAATAGAGAAGACAGAGAAGTAATATGGGAAAGCAAAAAACAAAAAACAAACAAACGGGGATTTAAAAAGAACTTCTAACGGGAAGGTAATGTAACTTGGAGATCTTAACAAGAAGTCTAAGTAAAGAAGAATAAACAGTAAAGGGTTTTAGATGCAACAGTATAGCTACAGTAAGAGACGATGGGCTTGAGGCACAGTGAATGGTGGTCACAAGACGACTGGGGAAATGGTGGGCACCCCGCCTTCCTATACTGTGAGAGGGGAGGGGCACGGAGTTCCTGCCAAAACCGTTAAGCTTTTGAATCTTCCTGGAGACAGGCACTGCACAGGCGCAGCACCCATATGTGATGCACAGAGGCCACGATGAAGAACTGTAGTCCTAGTTTACAATCTAGGATTTTCTTTCATACACAGGAGCTATAATACTCCGATGTTATACATACTCTTATATAAACATCCATTATAGTTTAAAAATTTTTGGGGGAAGTAAATACATGAACACCTTCTCTGACACATTTTATTAATTATTCTGAAATAAACTATTCCGTAATCCATGTTTTCAATTTTTCAAAAACAAGCCTTCAGGAAGAATGGTCTTTTTAAATTTCCCCCAGGTTTAACCCTTTTCTCCAGGTCTTCACATTTTTAATCCCAAATAAGTTGAACACCCTCCTTTGGAACCACCCACTAACAGCATCTTAGTTTTGTCTGATTCTATGTCTCTTCCATATATTGCTACATGACTTGAAGCAAAGCAGTGACAAATGTTTTGCAGGCTTGTGAAGAGTTTTTCGTAGTATCCCAATTATTTAGGGAAAGTTTTCATAGAAGATGAAATGAATACCAGTGAAGCTACCAACTAATGAAAGATGGTTTAACTGATTAATCTTTTTATTATTCAGTTAACAAAATCTAAACAAATGTGCACAGAATTATGAATTAAGCCCCTCCCCCCACAGAACAGGCCTGTGAGAGTCACCTACACATCCCTTAAGCTTTTGAGTCCCAGCAGGCCAGGGTATAAATTGAGACTAGGTCTACTGTATGTCAGTCTTCAGGAAGATACATGGTTTTAATTTTAAACTCACTTGAAGAGCAGTACATTGCCCCCAAAGGATCAGGTTCATAGTTTGGGGTGCTCCTCTGTCATTGGAGGCATAGTTGGCTTTTGCTTAAGGCTGATCCACCAGTTTACAATCTGTCTTGGAACCTCTGGTAGCCCTTTGTTTGGGCTTCTGCAGTTTTGATTATTTTTTTAAATGTACATGTAGGTTTAACTTCTCAGTTATATATTGATAAAATTATGTTCTTGTGTTTTGTTGTGAATTTAAAAAAAATAACAGAAGAAATATTATAAATACATTAACATGGTGGGTTGTTTTTCAGAACAATCAATGCATTCCAGCTGGATTAGAGAACTACTATTCTGAACAAGACTCTAGTGCTAGAGGGAAATTTTATACGGTTATAAACCACTACAACCTGGCCAAACAGACCATTACGCGATCTGTATCTCCGTGGATGACAGTGCTTTCAGAAGAGAAACTTTCTGAGCAGGAGACTGAAGCAGCTGAGAAATCAGCTTAGAATGTTTAATTGTTTTGACTGGAAGGTATCAAGAGGGCTTTCAAGGAACGTCTCATTGTAATGGAAAATGTAGAGGTTACTCATATTTATGGTGTAATTGCTTTGGGTTGCTGATAACTGCTTTGCAAAAAGGAAAAAAGAAAATGAAGTGCATACTGACATTGCTTTAGAGCTTTTAACACCATTTTCAATTGTAATAAAATGAACTTCAGTACATTCTTGCAATTTAAAATTTCCATTGAGCTATTCAGGGTTTTTTGACATGGGAGCATTTTGCATTTTACTATATGTAATTGGTGTTTTGTTTTGAAATCAGTTTGCAATCTGAGTGATCAATAGCCATCACTAGAAATTGTTGTTTAGGTATGAGGTCTATCTAAAGCCTGTTTGTTACTCCAGAATGAGTACTTAGAAATAAAGGTGGCCTGTGATTGCTGACTGTCTCAGATACGTTAAGATTTAATTAAGTTATTGCAACAAGGCATGCTTAATTGTTGTTTTGTTATAGCTATGAACATTTCACTGAATTTCCACTATGCCTAGAGAATCTTGTAGATGGACTTGCACCAAAACACAGAATAGACACTGCAGAAATGTACATATTAATGGTGGATAATGATATTTAGTAAGTGTTTAAGAATGTAAGGAAGCAAAAATCTGATGAGTAGTGGAGCCGTATGGAATTAAGAGACAGAAAATCTCCTGCTGTAGACATAGCCCCTAACATAACTTGTGCAACAAGAAAGGAGGAGTAATTTTGTGAGCATATTCTCTTTTTGTACAACATTAAAACATTTCCCTTTTTGTATGTTGCAAAATTGTTTTTGTTCGCAACATCCTTTGGCATTTTCTAATCTTTAAATATTAAGGCTACAAATCTAAGAATAAGTAGCAGGAAATCTGCTGCAGGGAACTTCGTGGGACTTTCATGTAAACATTTATAGAATTGGGTGGAAGGGAGAAAATGTACTCAATGAGATGGCATGTGAATGAAAAAAAAAAGATGGGTTGACTTCTTGAGGTAAATGGGAGGGGAGGGTAGCTAAGTCTAGAATTGTAGGTGCACGTTTATTGTCTTGACAGATTCCTAAAACCTTTCAAAATACATTTCAATTTAAAAGTTGGAAAAAGTGACTTGAACATTGATGGTCAATGTGTAGCACAAGCAACAGGTGCTTGCAGCATGTCTGGACTGAAAATAAGATGATTCTGTATACTGCGGCTTACAGTTGGGCCTGGACTCTGACCCAATTTCCAGTGTTGTGCTGTGCTGTGCATATACTGCAGTGATTATCAACACAGTGATTTTCAACCAGTAACAGGATGTCAGCAGGTGCAAATCCCACTGGTTGAAAGGCACTGCACTAGAATGACTTTCTCTCAGACTTTGGACTTGACTTGCCCAGTGTCACTGGACTACAAATGCATTTAGCTAACCACTGCGGGTTTTTTGGTTCAATGTTCTGAATGTGCTAATTCCCAGTGGACATGTCAAAAGTTTCATTACTTATGTAGAAACATGCTTTACAATAATGTAAATGTCTTTTTCTCCTACATCTATAGTAGAACAAACATGGTTAGCTCCAATTTTGGGTTTTGTTTCCTTCTAATACATTTCAGCATCACAGTCTGCTTAGAAAATGCCAACTGCTTTTCCATATTGAAATTTTAATACTGAACAAAGTCATGTGTTGTAAAATAATTTTTAGTATATCATCATTGCTGTGTGGAATGCATAAAAGCAATAAATTATGTGCCAAATCTTTCATTTGCTTTTTTTAAAAAAAATCAGTCCCATACAAACATAATACACTATACCATGTTTGTATTTCCTAGTCGTCAGTACTCTATTGAATGTAGATTCACATGTAACTTTTGACATTTTCACTCTGTGTAAAATAAAGATGTATGATCTTGTCTCTCAAACTCAGTGTGTTTATATATTTGTATAATGCATTCAACATAAAATGAAGAATTCCACTGCACTTAAAACAGCCCACCGCCCACCAATTTCCCACAATTCATTTCCATTGATGATTATTTTACACGGTCAGATTGAAGAATTTGCTCTTGGTTGTGATGCATTCTTTTTAAAGAAGGAAATCATCTTGAAATAGAACTGTCAAATTCTAAATAGTCAAATCATTCCTTTCCAGTATAATGCCATCTAAGATGTGTAACAGAGTAATACTAGTAATAATGGTCTGAATTTTTAAAAAATCGTACCGTCACAAATAAAATTGTGATAGTGTTGATTATTGAGGGTCTGCTTGCTATGAATTTTGGTGAAATCCACTACCTTGGATACTGTGTAACGGTATAAAACTAAAACCAGTAACCCATGCATACAACATAGTTTTTATTTAGTGGGAGAACAGGTAATTAAAACAGATACTGAGTGGACGGCTGAAAAGCAATTTCTGTTCACTCACCACACAATTTCCTTTGTAAATGTTGCACCCTACCTACCTCCATTATGTCCCACTGCAATAACTAGTGTTACACTTTTTTTAAAGATTCTCTCTCCTTTGCTCTATTTCTACCTGCTTTAGTTTCTCATGTTGCAGCCTGAGCGTGGATGTAAACGTGGATGTAACCAGTATATTTGTCACAAGGACATACAGAAGTACATTTTTCTGATCAAGATATTTCCACCATGATGATGAATGCAGGAAATAGGAGTTTTGCACAGAAAATATCTTCGGTCAATATTGGTCCAGACTTCAGCCAAGGTTGGACAAATGTAGCAAATAAGGACAAAGTTAGCTGCCATACCAGTCCAAAAACAACAAAGAGAACGAGCACATCACAAGAAAGAAGAGAATCCACACACGAAATCCAGCATTATTCTTGATTGCCTGCAGGAAAAAATATTTTCTTGAATAACTTGGATTGCAATACCCAATTCAAGAATATGCAAAATCTTTTTTCAGTTTGTGCCCCAAATGCTTTACAGAGAAGATACAACTAAGGTTAGGTCTCCCAATGTAGCTACAGCGGGATCATACTGTGTGAGGGAGAACATATAAAAGCTAGTGGAAGAGACAGGTTGAATTGTTTAGCCACAATTAGGAAATCACCACATTTAGCCAAATAATTGCTCCAGAAATTTGGGGGGAAAGTCTGAGAATACTGGTATACATTGGGCCAATTCATGCGGCTTAATTTGCCTGCGAACTGCATAACATGCTGGCCACCAAGATGCAAGCCCTGGCCAAGGCCTACCACGGCTTGTCATGCCATTCAAACTTGGGTGGAAGGGTTTGAGAGTTAAATAATCCTTGTGTAACCCTAAAAATTACTGTGGGTTATATGCAAAGGTTTCTCAACAACTGCCACCTGCATTCAGATGACATGATAAACCATGGCAAAACACAGCTGCAGCTTACACATTCATAATGGTAGATGGCATGTGCATCTATGGACCAAGGGTTAATTAACCCATGGTGGGCTGCTGTGTAAGCCATAGCACTGGGTTATATCCAGGATTGCATGCACTATTGTCATGGGGCTAGTCGAACCAGCCTCTCTGACCTTAGGAAGAGGAATCTTTTGCAATTCATGGGGAGAGTGACAAACAGAAAAAATTGCTCATGGGGGAAGTAAATAGAAATGGTAAGGGCAGTAGTGCTACAAGCTGACCCCAAGGCAGGAGCTAAATTGTGCATAGAAAAGTAGCAGCAGCCATGGAAAAGGTGGGAGGGACATTTCAGCACACTCCTATGCTCACAAGTTATGCTGAATCCTTCAACATTACCTTGTCTGTAACTTTAATTTTTTTCATGAAAGTTCAAGCTCTGTCAAGGCTCTGCTTTGGCAGAAAATGTTTGGCTTCCTTCATTTTTTTAAACAAATTACATGATTTATATAGTGCTCCACATCCAAACAGATTCTGGAGTGGCCAACAATAAAAAATGACCAACAGAATAAAATAAAACTAAAACAGAATCAAAAGAAACAGTGACTGGTCAGTAAAGGAAGGTATCCTGAAGATGCTCTCAGGAATGCCAAAAACAATGCAACCCTGGTGCCTGCCTGACCTTCTGGGTCAGGAGAGATCCTCAGAAATAGAACTGCTACCCTGAAGGCTTTTCTCCACATGGACTCTGGGCCACAGGTCCATGTAGCACCAGCAGGACCACATCTGATACCCGGACAGTTGAAAAAGGAGCAGGTGCTCATGTCTCTTGGTCTCAAAGGCTGATCTTAAACAAGGTTTTCTACACTAGTATAAACCCTTAAACCTGGCCCAGTGATGACTAAGCAGTCAGTGTAGTTCCCCCAGCAAAATACATGTCACAAAGATGTAACTGTGCAGAGTTCCATCCATAAAGATCTCTACGCTAGTTGGTCTCCAGTTTTCCCCTGGTGTTGCACTGGGATCTCCACCTTCATTCCACGCTTTTCTATAGATGGCCAGCATACATGTGTGCATGCATGCACGTGCGCAGAAAGAGGGGCAGCCATTCTTTTAAAAAGAAGTTTGGCACAAATGTCTACAATATTCACCTCTATGCTCTGCTGCCCCATACACAGACAATACTGGCTGACTGGATTTAAATCGGGAGGGATACTTTCAACTCCATACTTTGCAGAGTTTGACTTTGTTCTTGTATGAGAAGGATGTTAACTGGTTATTTGCAAATTGTTAGAAAGTTCTTAGGGTCATGTGTTGAGGAAGGACAGGAGCCCTGGGCTGATGGGCAGGGTAGAAATAAAATAAACAAACCCCCTTCTCACATCAGTACAAGACTTAACAGCCTCTGCTTGAGCAGCAAACATTTCAGCTACACACTGAGGAGCACTGACAACTCTTCCTGTCCTCCAAATTCTAAACTGGTTTGGCCACTGAGTTAGTGGCAGTACATGCCATGGCACAATTTCCAGAGGCATCGCAGTCCTCCCTGTTGATGGCAGGATCTCCTCAGAGTGAGGTGATTTGGTCAAAGTGGCTCTGGAGCGTGCCTGTAAAATCATTTTGCTGCAATGCAGGTAAAGACTTTGTAAATCTGAACAGTATTTCTAGTTGCAAAATGGTGATCACAGTGCAGGTGTGCTCCTGGGCCATCTCACTTGCAGTGCCTTACTCTTGCAAAGCACTGTGGAGGCTGCCATAGGCCTGCTATCACCCTTCTGCCCTACACCATTAATACTTTCATTGCTGCAGTAAATGCTCTTCAATGCAGCAGCAGCAGTGGTGGCGGTGAACCATGGACACTGGACCTGTTGATGATGGCAGCCCTGGGCAGCCCTGGAAGTGGCTGATGGGGCATGATCTGTCACTTTCCCAAGCCTGAGTGCCATGATTCACCACGATATGGCCAGCCCCATACATTTGACCAAGTGGGGAAGCGGGGTGGGGGGGGGAGCGGTGCATAAAACTTTTGGTTCTGAAAGTACACTGGACGAGGCATGTACCTGTGCATGCATGTGCACATACACCCCTTACCAACACGCATGCACACACACCCCCCTGAAGCAAAGGGAACACTGTTATGGAGCTAAAGTTTCCTTATTGTCAAATTGCCATTAGTGGCATTGGAAGCAGCAATGGGGAGGAAGATTTAGCTGCCTTCTCCTCTGGCCAACTTTGCTACTGTTGCACTGTCCTTAGCAACACAGAAACAGTGATGCCAAAGGGCAGGTTGCATGGTCGCCCCCATCCTTTTTTAAGCATGGGTGTAATTATTTTCTCCCTGAGGTCCCAATCCAAATTGGGGTTGTGTGCCCTTCTCTAGAGTTTAAAATGCCTTGGCAACACTCTATGCAATTTTCTCTTACTGAGAAAAAAGGACCTCCAGGGGAAATGGACACTGGGACAAGTGAGCAAAAGGGTATACCAGGAAGAGGTTGCTCCATTCAACAGGATTCTTCCCAAGGATAAAGTTGATTATGAACTGAGACTTGCAAAGAATGTCAAGAGCAACAAAAAGGGTTTCTATTCTTATGTAAATGGTAAGAGGAAGGGGAGAAAGGATGTAGTAACTGATGTACAGGAACAGGCACAGATGTTAAATGATTATTTTGCCACTGTATTCTGCCCAAAGCAGGATATCTACCTGGGCGACCATATGAAGTTGGGGCTTGGGGGCACTGACTGGGGTCACTTCCCTAGAAATTGAGATGTTCCTCAGGGTCCTGAAACCACCTGGTCCTGAAAGGTTACACCCAAGGATACTTTGGGAATCAGCAGTAGAACTCCCGTACCCATTAGTCTTCATTTTTGGGCCTCATGGAAAACAGAAGTACTGGAGGATTGGAAGATAGTATCAGTGGTCCCAATCTCAGTTAGCCTAATGTCTATTCTGGGAAAGACAACGGAAAAAAGCTCATAATAAAGAAAGTTCTAGAAACCCTAGATAAGGAAGTGGGGTGGTGGCAGCCATGCAACATGGATTCTGTAAAAAAAGGTCCTACCAGCTGAACCTTGTGAAATTCTATGACAATGTTTCGAGGTGGCTAGGTAGAGGGGATGCAGGGAATGTGGTTTGCCTGGATTTCAGCAAGGCCTTTGACACAGTGCCCCAGGATATCCTGGCTGAGAAATTGAGGAGTTTTGGGATAGACCAATGCACTGTCCAATGGATTAGGGCATGGTTGGCAGAGGGTAACCATTAGTGGGGAATCATCAGGATGGTGGCCAGTGAAAAGTGGGGTCCCCCAGGGCTCTGTCCTGGAACCGATCCTGCTTAATCTTCTCATCAACAACATGGAAGAAGGGGTGAACTGTCTGCTGATCAAATTCACAGATGATACTAAAACTGGGGCAGTGGCCACAACTGAGGAGCAGGTACTCCAGATCCAAAAGGATCTGGACAGACTATGGAAGTGGGCAGGAGACAACAGGATGGCGTTCAATGTGGATAAGTGCAAGGTCTTGCACTTGGGGCACAGGAATGGGTGTCATAAGTGCAGGTTAGGGGACAAGTGGTTGGAGAGGAGCACTTGTGAAAGAGACCTTGGGGTGCAGGTTGATTGCAGGCTAACATGAGTCAGCAGTGGTCAAGAGGGTGAACGCCACCGTTGGTTGCATTGCCAGAAGTGTGGCTTCTAGACTGAGAGAGGTATTACTACCACTCTATATGACTCTGGTGCGCCCGCAACTGGAGTATTGTGTTCAGTTTTGGGCCCCTCATTACAGTAAGGATATAGCCCGGTTAGAGTCAGTGCAGCACAGGGCCACAAGGTTGGTGGCCGGTTTGCAGGGGTTGGATATGAGGCGAGACTGAGGGAACTGGGTGTCTTCAGCCTGGAGAAGAGGAGACTCAGAGGGGATCTGTTGGAGACATACAGGTATGTGAGGGGGTGTCACATGGAGGTGGGTAGAGACCTGTTCTCTCCTGCAGAGGAAGTCAGGATGTGCGCCAACAGAGCAAAGCTCAGGGAACCCAGGTTCAATTTAGATGCCAGGAAGTACTTCCTGACAGTTAGGACCCCAAGGGTATGGAATGGGCTTCCATGGGAGGTGGCTGAGGCCTCATCAGGGAGGGTGTTGAAAGATAGGCTAGACATGCACATGGTGGGCATGTTGTGAGCAGAGCCGGATAGAGCTGGGGATAAGACTAGATGGCCCAAGAGGCCCCTTCTGACTCACTCTGTTTCTATGTTTCTATGAATGCATGCCAAATAAATTGAGCATTGTCAAGAACATTTTTAGAAATATCTTCACAGAGAGAGGACCATAGCTATGTTTTACAAGGAAAGAAAGCCAGTAATCTTTGTGTCTCAGCAGATGAAGAAATATTCATAGAAGGCACAACTAATAATGGTGTTGCTGTTTCTTCAGCATATGTTCGAGGCAGGCCGCTACACTGAGGCCTCTCATACTTTGGTCAAGAAACACAAAAACTGATTTGTGAGATTACCTCTCTTATGTCTTCATTGCCTTCCTTGATATTCTCAGTTGCACCCACAACTATCTGATGGATGTTGTCAATTTCAGCTTCCTGAAATAAATTAACATACATATGGTGAAAACCAGACTATTGTCAAGTTATAGAAAGTTGAATGAAAAGATTACAACATGAACCAGTGGCCAAAACTAGGTTAAGGACCAGCACTACCTCCTCCTTTCCCCTCAATAACAGCTCACATGACATTATGGTGTTATGAATTTCTGCACACTACAGGTGACAAGCAACAAAGTGAAGCAGGAAAATGGTAACTTGACTATGACATTTCAACAAATGTCTTTAGGAGTTACTGGGGAGAGAATAAAGAATGGCTTTGGTGACTGTGATACATATCCTTTAACATAGAGTCTTAGGGTTTTTCATAAACATTCATAAAACAGATTTAAAGGTTCTTGAAGTACATAGGAAGATGCCATATGTGAATCTGAACAGCCCCTAAATTGGCCAAGCAAATTCAGAAGCTCCAGTGACCAGTTTCCAGTCCCTAGAACCCAGGGTGCCACAGTTTCCAGCAATAGAAATCCTGCTGAAGTTTGGCAACAATTTGACAGTAGCAAACATGGTACATTCTCATTTAAATAAGGCCCACAAAGTATACACCTTCTTTCAAAGTGTGGGTAACTGTGTTCTGGTAGCCTCCAAAGGAGTACAGATTTGCATTAAAACCAGATGTGGAGTCCTCATGAAGTTTCTTTTAAAGTGAGTATGTGATCTTTTTGCCACTGCCACCACCTTTCTGCTAAAATTCAGCAGTAACTTGGCACTGCTAACTTGGTGCCCTAGTTGCATGCATCCCATAGTCCACAAATTGCCCAATTCTGGTCTAAAACAAGCTTCAAAATCTAATCAAATAATTGCAAAATGAAAGATGTGGATTCAATTCTAATATATACTTGCCTTAACAATGGGAAAAGTATGTGGTAGTAAGCTTTAGTGCCCTTCCATAAAATTTCAATGTTAGACTCAAATTATAAATCATCTTAATTGCATAGAGTGTTGCCAAGGCATTTTAAACTCTAGAGAAGGGCAGACAACCCCAATTTGGATTGGGACCTCAGGGAGAAAATAATTACACCCATGCTTAAAAAAGGATGGGGGCGACCATTTCAATTCCTAGGTATACATGTGTGCACTGTGGGGAAGAGAGCAGATTTCAGGAAGCAAACAGTTGTGGGGAAAATGAGATAAGTTTCAGCTGCACACTACACAATTATTGTAATATAGCTGTCCCACAGTCAAGAACTTTCTGACTGAATGAGGTACAGGAAGAAAAATCAGAATCAGCCCTGCCCCGGCCACCATTTTGATTTTCCTATAATGTCCCAGGCACAGCAGGGCATCGTAGAGAAAAAAGTTTACAGGCAGTTATTCCCACTTTCCCCCCACAATACCCTGAATGCCATTTAGGGTCAACAATATGTTGCATCCAGGGCAAGTTGCTGAAGACAATTATACAAGCCCTTTTCATCTGCAATCTTGTCTAAGTACCCACACAATTTATATTTTATCCCACCTTTGCTCAACTTCTTAAAGACTTATTTTAATATAACATGGAATAACAGGAAAAGGGCAACAGTGAAAGGGTCAAAGTGCATGCTTACCTGTTGTAAGACCTTTTCTGTAAATATCTCTTGAAGTCTAGATATTTCGACCACCTTGCCTTCAATTTGTCTAAAAAAGGCAACAAAAAGCCACACTACATAAGTACAAACTTTCTTCATCTTTATAGACCAAAGCAGATATAATATGGCACATTCTTGACCAACTGAAGCACTGCAAACCAAGTAAACTGGACTACCAATAAGTAATTATAACTCAGCGAACCACCAGTTAATGGTTTATGTAGCAATGTGCAAATGGAAGAGAAAGGCAGAAAGGAAAGAACAAAGGGAGCAAGTCACTGGTCTCGAAAAGCTGAAAACAGCTGAAACCAGTTGGCCTAGGTGAACCGGTAGTCTGACTCAGTGTATTGTGAGGTGGACAACTGCACTCTTACAATTCAAGATGAACTAGCAACAGTAAGATCACTTCAAATATGAAATTTATTTATTTATTTAGAACTTTTATATGCCATCCCTTATGCATGACATTTCAGGATAGCTTGCAAATTGTACATAAGCACAAAATATAAACAGGATCTATCAGTTCCAGTTATCTAATTAGGATGAGGGTACTGTTCAGCACTGGACAGGCATAACACCAAGACATGTTCACTAAACTGCATATTCCACATCTCTGTACAAGAGAATGCCATATCAAATAGCACATTTAAGTGGATGCGCCCAAACAAAATATAAGTTCTGAAACTATTTCTATAAAAAGCAGTAAGAAGCAAATTACATGGGCCTGAAACAGAGGATGCTTGGGTCACAGCAACAAGAGAAGGGCTAGCAAGTTGGAATAAAATCATACCTTACTTCATCAAACAGGCTGTTCATTTCACCAACAAGGCGCTGGTTTTCCTGTTCAAACTGGGGCAGAATGATAACAGCATGAGGTTTAAAGAGCTTAAGGAAGCTGTTAAAACAAAAAGATGATACTAAAAGTGTTCTTAATAATCCTGTAAGCAGGAGTCTTTTATTTTGATCTTACAATATTTATCATATTTTCATCCCACCCTTCCTTCATGGAGCTCAGGTTTTTCATGAACGTAATAATCCATGTCTCATACTCTAGCAGCAACACCACATTGGGAGTTTATATTGGTTCACCCATACATGCTTAGCTACAGAAGGCTCAAAAGTACTTTACTTTTCCAAGTAACAAGACAAAACAACAATGAATGCTTTTTGCAGTAACTCTGTTTAGTTGATATATATGAAAATACATAATTCTGAAAATGAAGAGACTCCTGATATAGTACAATCAGTTGTGACTGCAAAGGCAACTGATGCACAAGCTTTTATCCTTCCTTAAACAGTGTGTCCCCTTCATGGATCACTCCTTGTCGTAACGAAGGGGCTTGCATAGCTCAATGAAGCTATGAGCTATGCCATGCAGGGGCACCCAAGACGGACAGGTCATAGCAGAGAGCTCTGACAAAACGTGATCCACTGGAGAAGGAAATGGCAACCCACTTTGCCATGCAAACCCCATGGACAGTAACAAAAGGCAAAAAGATATAACGCCGGAAGATGAGCCCCTCAGGTCAGAAGGTGTCCAATATGCTACTGGGGAAGAGTGGCGGGCTAGTACTAGTAGCGACAGAAAGAATGAAGCCACTGGGTCAAGGCCGAAAAAGGACACTCAGTTGCTGATGTATCTGGTGGTGAAAGGAAAGTCCAATGCTGCAAAGATCTATACTCCATAGGAACCTGGAATGTAAGATCCATGAATCAAGGCAAGCTGGACGTGGTCCAACAAGAGATGACGAGACTGAACATCGACATCTTAGGAATCAGTGAACTAAAATGGACAGGAATGGGTGAATTCAATTCAGATGACCATCAGGTATACTACTGCGGGCAAGAATCCCTCAGAAGAAATGGAATAGCCTTCACAGTCAATAAAAGAGTAGCAAAAGCAGTACTGGGATACAATCTCCAAAATGACAGAATGTTCTCAGTTCGAATCCAAGGCAAGCCATTCAACAACACAGTAGTCCACGTCTACGCCCCAACCACTGGTGCTGAAGAGACTGAAGTTGACCAGTTGTATGAAGGCCTACAACACCTTCTAGAATTAACGCCAAAAAATGATGTCCTTATCATCATGGGGGATTGGAATGCTAAAGTAGGAAACCAAAAGATAACCGGAATAACAGGCAGCTTTGGCCTTGGAGTACAAAATGAAGCAGAGCACAGGGGGGTAGAATTTTGTCAAGAGAATATGATGGTCATAGCAAACACTCTTTTCCAACAACCCAAGAGACGACTCTACACATGGACATCACCAGATGATCAGCACAGAAATCTGACTGACTATGTGCTCTGCAGCCAAAGATGGAGAAGCTCTATACAGTCAGTAAAAACTAGACAAGGAGCTGACTGTGGCTGAAATCATGAGCTTCTTGTTGCAAAATTTAGGCTTAAATTGAAGAAAGTTGGGAAAAGCACTAGGCCACTCAGGTATGACCGAAATCATATCCCTGATGAAGATACAGTAGAGGTGACATATAGATCTCATAAACAGAGTGCCTGAAGAACTATGGGCAGAGGTCCACAACACTGTACAAGAGGTAGCAACTAAAACCATCCCAAAAAAAAAAAAAAAGAAAAGCAAAATGGCTGTCTGAGGAAGCTTTACAAATAGCTGAGGAAAGAAGAGAAGTGAAAGCCAAGGAGAAAGATACACCCAGCTGAATGCAGAATTCCAGAGAAAAGCTAGAAGAGATAAAAAGGCCTTCTTAAATGAACAGTATAAAGAAATAGAAGAAAACGATAGAATAGGGAGGACCAGAGATCTCTTCAAGAAAATTGGAGATATGAAGGGAATGTTTCATGCAAAGATGGGCATGATAAAGGACCAAAATGGCAGGGACCTAAGAAAGGCAGAAGAGATTAAGAAGAGGTGGCAAGATTATACAAGAAAGAGCTTAACGTCCCTGATAACCAAGATGGGGTGGTCACTGACTTCGAGCCAGGCATCCTGGAATGTGAAGTCAAATGGGCCTTAGGAAGTCTGAGCAACAACAAAGCTAGTGGAGGTGACAGTATTCCAGCTAAGCTATTCAAAATCTTAAAAGACGATGCAGTAAGAGTGCTACACTCAATATGCCAGCAAATCTGGAAAACTCAACAGTGGCCACAGGATTGGAAAAGGTCAGTTTACACTCCGATCCCAAAGAAGGGCAATGCCAAAGAATGTTCAAACTATTGCACCATTGCACTCATTTCACAGGCTAGCCAAGTTATGCTCGAAATCCTACAAGCTAGGCTCCAGCACTATGTGGGCTGAGAACTACCAGAAGTACAGGCAGGATTTCAAAGAGGCAGAGGAACTAGAGATCAAATTGTCAACATATGCTGGATCATGGAGAAAGCTAGGGAGTTCCAGAAAAACATCTACTTCTGCTTCATTGACTATGCTAAAGCCTTTGATTGTGTGGATCACAACCAATTTTGGCAAGTTCTTAAAGAGATGGGAGTACCAGACCATCTTATTTGTCTCTTGAGAAACCTATATGTGGGTCTAGAAGCAGCAGTGAGAACTGGACACGGAACCCCTGATTGGTTCAAAATTGAGAAAGGAGTTTGGCAAGGCTGTATACTGTCGCCCTGCCTATTTAACTTAAATGCAGAGCACAACATGTGAAAGACGGGGCTAGATGAATCACCAGTTCGAATTAAGATTGCCGGGAGAAATATCAACAACCTCAGATATGCAGATGATACCACTCTAATGGCAGAAAGTGAAGAGGAACTAAAGAGCCTCTAGATGCAGGCAAAGGAGAAGAGTGCAAAAGTTGGCTTGAAACTCAATATTAAGAAAACTAAGATCATGGCATCTGATCCTATCACTTCCTGGCAAACAGATGGGGAAGAAATGAAGGTAGTGACAGATTTTATTTTCCTGTGTTCCAAGATCACCGCAGATGGGGACTGCATCCAAGAAATGAAGACGCTTGCTCCTGGGGAGGAAAGTTATGGCAAATCTAGACAGCATACTAACAAGCAGAGACATCACCCTGCTGACAATATGAGTATAGTCAAGGCTATGGTTTTCCCAGTTGCAATGTATGGCCATGAAAGCTGGACCAAAAGGAAGGCTGAGCGCCGAAGAATTGAGGCCTTTGAATTGTGGTGCTGGAGAAGACTCCTGCGAGTCCCTTCGACTGCAAAGCAATCACACCAGTCAGTCCTAGAGGAGATCAACCCTGACTGCTTTTTAGAAGGCCAGATACTGAAGGTGAAACTCAAATACTTTGGCCACCTAATGAGAAGGAAGGTCTCCCTGGAGAAGAGCCTAATGCTGGGAACAATAGATGGCAAAAGAAGAAGGGGACAGCAGAGAATGAGGTGGCTAGATGGAGTCCCTGAAGCAGTCAGCGTGAGTTTAAGTGGACTCTGGAGGATGGTGGAGGACAGGAAGGCCTGGAAAAATGTTGTCCGTGGGGTCGAGATGGGTCGGACACGACTTCACGACCAAGAACAACAGTGTGTCGCTCCCAGTTAAACCTCTTTGATTTGCCTGTATATAACACTTGCACTTAGGTTAAAAGCCCTGTCATACAGTATTTTCTTGGAGGGGCAATTTCAGGTTATGGTGCCAGTGCCTGTTTCATGACAATGCCATATGCATTGACATCAAACAAGATAAAACTGTAAATAAAAACCACTTTTTTAAATCAAACATACAAAAATAATTTTTAAAAATTGGGTTTTTAAACACTAACACACAAAAGAAGATCCCCTTTTCTCTAATTTAAGAAATAGCATAATTGTAACTAAACCTAATTATAAGCATGCAAATTATACACTAAAATTTTATAAAATGGTTACACTAAAATTTTATAAAATGCCTATTAAACATGAGCATTCATTCATTCTTTTCATTTCATTACACTGGCCATGTGCAACCTAACTAACCATTCTTGCATTTTTAACTTTCCAGACATTTAGTTTCCCCTACTAAAGTCACCTGTACAATAGTTTGACAGACTACCAGTTTGTTTCTGGAACAAAATGCAACAGCCTATTTATAACCTATGAAGTCCCATAAGGCTTGGGACCAGACTAACTGCATAGAGAGCCTTCTCCTTATGAACTTGCCAGCAGGTGCCAAGATCTTCAAGAAAGGCCTTTTCTTTGATACTGCCGCCTTCAGAGGCATGATTGGAGGCAATGTGAGTTAGGGCCCTTTGGTGATTGTTCCTAGGCTGTGGAGCCACCTGTAGAAGGAGACTACAGGCTGTGGTGTGCTAGCTATTTATTAGGTTGCATAATATTTTATCACTGTGTTTTAATGTATTTATTTTGTTATTATTTTAATCAAGTTTTAATTTTCCATTTTTTTAAAAGGTCTTATGATCATCAACTGCCTTGTGTACCATTTTCTTGGTAGAAACGTGGAATAAAAATCAGATAAATTTCCAACCTTTAAATAAATAACAAGATTTCATCATCATGCAGGATGGAAGTTAACTATTCACCTCTGTCTTCTACAACAGAAACAATAGAGAACACGTGTTTCTGGTTTCCTTTGGCAGGGGCTGGTACAGAGAAACTGCTAAAATATGCCGCCTACTTAAGGTCTACCAGTGTCTACAATACTGTATCTCAATATCATGCCATCTCTTCTTGCTAGACATTTACTAATCATGACACATTGCACACATTTGGAAGCCTGTGTGTGTTAAATGACCAAAGAAGAAGACTATATAGGAGAGATTGGAAATGGAAATTTTTAGGGACAACACTAAGGAAAAAAGTTGTACAAAAGTGTGCTTGGAGGTAGAGAGATTGGCTAGTCAGGCTTAGCATGCCAGGCTCTATGAAAGGAAAAGTCAAGAGGTCTGGAAACCATGTGTAATAGAGGAGATCTTGAACCTGACTGGCAGGAAAAGTAAGATGTTGATTTCCCTATTTACTATCAGCACCAACCATTTCCACAGCAGTAAAGTGCCTCCTAAGAGAAAGGCAATCATTGTAATAATATGGACAAGAACCTGCGACAGCAGTAGTGTGAATAGTGGTAAATTTATTTACTTATTATCCTGCTTTTAACTTACAAGAACTCAAGGTGGCTTACATAATTCTTCTCTTCCTGCTCTCAATCTTATCCTCACAGCAATAAACCTATTTGGAAGGCTAGGCTAACAGTCTGTGATTGGCCCAAAAGTGGCTTCATGGCTGAGAACAGACTACAACCCAGATCTTTTGAGTCCTAGTCTTATGCTATTAACTGCTACACCACTGAATTAGTGACTTCAGAACACATCCAGCCTCACACACATCACTGTGAAAAACAACTTTATATACTTTATATACAAGTAATTATATTATTCATTCTATTGATGCTCAAGGCACCTCTCAATAATAAAAAAATGGATAATGACTTAAGAATTAAGTAGCTCACAAAAATCAAGATCAAAAGTCACAACATTCTTCTTCTTTATGTTTATTTATGTTTCTCAATGTTAAAATAGTTTCTTGCGTTTGTGAAATGAAGTACCAATTCACAATAGTAATATGAAATCTATTTTTTCATAGACAACTTGCCATTAAGAACTAGGAAAGTGAATGGAAAAGCCAGGCACAAAATCTATTACTGTGATGCAGTGTGTGCATTATGCTTAAGGTTGGGACAAACCCAGTTGGAACCCATTCCTCTAGTATCTGGTGGGAGTTCCTCTCATACTCAGCCTGGTCTTGCAAAGTGAGCTGAGTCCAGAGCAATTCTGCAAACATTTGCAGAGCCCTGTATGTGCAACTGGCAACCTTCCCTAGCAGAAGCAGCTGCTGGCAGTGACAGTAGGGTGTTGCAAGCAGGCCTACCAGGTGCCATTCCCAGCAACCAATCTTCCCTGCTTGCTGCTGCTGGTGGCAGCATGTGCAAAAGCAAGGGGTTGTGAGAAGACATGCCAGACATTCCTGGCAATCAAACTATTTCCTGCTTGCTGCTGCTGGTGGCAGCAGTGAAGAGCACAGAAGAGGAGCACTGTTTATGTAGTGTGTGGCACTCAATTCCTGGTAAGTGCTCCACAAACATAGAGTGTGCTCATGAGAATCTTGGACTCTGGGCCACTGCAAAGCAAACCTAAGTCCAGGGAACCGAGCCCAGGGAATCTGACAAATTCCTACCCCTAAATGAATTCCTTGCACATCCCTAATTAAGTTTGTTCTACACTGTACTTATTTAATAGTTAGTTACAATATGATTAGTTAGGTAGATAAGTAGATAATTAGGTAGACAGGATTTATCATTTACCATTTGGATTTCTTCAGGTGAAAGCTCATCTTCTCCTTTGCCATCACTGCAAAGTCCATAATTACCATGTTCATCTATCACATTCTTATCTGAAACAGTCAGAAAAAATAAACTACCTTCAACAGCTAGCCAAAATTTGCCAGAGCCATTGACTACTATTCCCAGTTAAGCAGGAACTGCCCATAACTCTGTTTGCCTAAAACTAAAGGACGATTTAATTTAATTACTTTTGCCATACTTTCTCATTATGATGGAAACTTGGAAATATTCTCTTGGAGTTAGGTTATACTCAATGAAATGAGGCAGTGTAGTGAGAAGAGGCATGAATCACTTCAGCAGAAAGAAGTCCCCTTTCTGCTGCAAATAAAGGTATGTTCTTTGCCTAATTTGGAAGACTTTGCAGACACAATCTATGTGGCCCTCTGGATCACTGTCACAGATAAGTGTTTCAAACAGAATAAACATTATGCTCTTCATCTGATCCTTCATTTAAACCATAGAGTCTTCGTCTGCCCTCTAGTCTGCTGCCTTCCCTTTTCTACAGGCACTTTTCTGACAAAATAGCTCATTGCAAGCTCAAGCCCTACTCCACCCAGTGGTTTGCACAAAAGTTTTTATCAGGAGGCAGGAATACATACATGCCTAGGTACCTTATGCAAGTGCATATATGTTTGTAGGATATGCTTTAAGTTAAACTCAGCCTTTAGATAAACACTGTTATATACAAGACTGGCATAAAGAAACATGTATTGAGGCCAAGATTCATTCTACTGTATCACCTAAAGGTAAAGGTAAAGGTTTTCCTTTGACATTAAAGTCCAGTCATGTCTGACTCTAGGGGGCGGTGCTCATCTCAGTTTCCTAGCCAAGGGAGCCAGCGTTTGTCTGCAGACCGTTTCTGTGGTCATGTGGTCAGCATGACTAAACACCAAAATGCACGGAACGCTGTTACCTTCCCACCGAAGTGGTATCTTTTTATCTACTTGCATTTACATACTTTCGAACTGCAAGGCTGGCAGGAGCTGGGACAGAGCAACAGGAACTCACCCTGTTGTGCAAATTTGAACCAGCGACCTTTCGATCAACGAACCCAGCAGCACAGCAGTTTAAACCACTGCACCACCTGCATCCCTCTACTGTATCACCTACTGAGATATACTGTATTATTTAAGTCCCATGATGCTGGTGATAGTGATTTCCTACAAGGCACAGTGATCTCTGGGTTTTCACAGACATAGAAAGCTAAATAGATTTTATTCATTTCATTCTCTGTTCCAGTCTTGCCATTAGATGTGAACTCAGTGTTTTTAAGATGCCAGGGCCCTGTTTTATTGCTTTGTTGGTAGTTGTTTGTAACCTTGTCAGTGAAAGTGTTGTCAATTAGACTGGCAATGTTGCTATATAACTCAGATGCTGCCTTCTCTTGGGAATGCCATTTAGAGTGCTTCTGTTTAAAAACAATTCTGGATGAGGTATTATAACAGTGTTCTAATGCAACACTCTGTAACTAGGCATAATGGCTAATACTTCCTTCACTTTCTTCATTTATTCACTTCCCATCTGAACAAAAGTTAAAAACAGATGAAACATTTTAGAGCTGTGGAACATGTAAAAAAAAAAACTGCCACTGCATTCAGATCAAGCTGTTAACAGGATTTTCAAGGATTACATTCTGGAAAAATTGTATTCTGCAAATTTCCACAAGATGTTATTTATACATTGGACTAGGAGGGTCAAAGGCATCCATAATGGATTCAAATGAGTTTGGATTTTTATGATGCTGATCTGCAGATTCTGCACAAAATTCTGCCATCCATTCATCTTCTGATGTTTCAAAGGTATTGATCACACTTTCCCAAGTATGTCTTAACAACATTAAAGGCAAAAAACCTTTAATAACAAAGCAGCTATGAAGACTCTCAAGGACTGAGTTATGTACTTGGTATTAGGAAGGAAGATGAGAATGAACCTTCATCAGCAACATCCGGACCATCTTGGTAAAAAAAAAAAAAGTTGCCTTTCATGAGAATCTGAATATCTCTCTACTACAAAAGTGGTACAAGTTCTGCAAGCCAGTGCTGCCCAAAATGAACTATAGTGATCTACACCTTAGACAAGCCCTAAAACTGAATTATAAAACCATCAGGGTTTTATTGTATCATTTCTTCATAATTGCTTTAAGTATAACATACTTTTTAGAAAGAGCAAAACTTGCTTTCATTTCAGAAGACTGCACCAAAAGACAGGTATTCACATAACTTACAAAACAGGATACAAGTCATCTTATAGAACTAACAAACAGTAAGCATCCCACAGGGACCAATTACTTGTAAATACTGCCAACAGTAATGATGTGGAATCTACATCTACTGCTCTCATTGCTAGGCAAATTCAATCAGGACAAATATAAAATGAAAAGGGAGGAGCAGAAATCATACAAGCTATTGCTCTTAATCCCAACACAGCTTTTCTCACTAAAGCAGCCTCTCACCCATGTGGAAAATTGTGTACATTTTTCTAAATTTTTTTAAAATTGCTTTTTTATTTGGGTTTGCACAATTGCAGAGGTCCCACTTCTGTATGCCCAAACAGTAAGCCTCATCAGGCAATATCCTGAAGAATGTCTACTGTCAAAGTGCAGGAGATACCAATTGTGGAAACTGACCAAGAGAGGCATCAAATAGATTTTTTTTACTTTGCTTTCCCATGGCAGCTGTCAAAGAAAAACCAATCAGGGTGACTCAAAGCCATGAGTAATCTTTGGTCTCAAAAGTGGGCTGGCATGTTTTCAGTGTTCCCTCCACAGATCTCATCCCCCACTTCTCTACCCATTCCTAAGATGCTAAGTGTACAAGACAGCCCTCCCCCTTTTTACTGACACTACATCTTGGATAGCTGTCAAAAATCTTTGCTTTTTGGAGTGCAGGAATTTGACAGGGAAAAGGGAGCAATTTGGCTAAGTTAGTACATGGATGAAATGAAGGAGGCACTGCTCATGACATTGTCCTGGTGATGCTTCCTATTTCAGACCCATAGATGTTAGCACTGGCAAAAGTTCGGCTAAAGTAACGAAAAATTTTTAGAAATCAGAAGAAAATTGCACATTCTGCACTCAGTGACAGCCACTCCAATGTGCTATTTGGGAACTTTGAAGGAGCTTTCACAGGCTTTCAAACTGGAGATTGCAATGGCAAAGATTAATTGCAGGGTTAATGACCTTATATTCAGATTATTTAACATTATTCTTTAGCCTTCTGTCAACTAATGAGTTCAAATGTACCCCTTTTAAGACAATTTCCAACACTCCATATTCATGGTAGTCAACCACATTAAGATGTAAAATATGATAAGATACTTCAGTCCTTTCTCCCCAAATCCAGCAGAGAAAAATACTGTTTTTATTACTATCATTTAAAAAAATAATGAAACATGCGCATAAAGTGCTATGGGACAATGTGAATTTTATACTCCTTATGGATTAGATGTTAAGATTTAGAACCAAAGAGTTTTAGAGATCAAATAGTCTGACCCCACCCAACCCACTGTGCTTTATTGCTCCTTATTTTGAGTTAGCGGCATTCTTTCTTATTTTTATAGTTAAGACAAGTGACTTACTGCTAATGTGTTGAGAAACTGAGAAAGCCCTACTTCTAGTATCTTCCAACCTAACAACTTTTTCTGGAGGGCGAGAGTAAGGCCTCCAATGTTGATTTAAAAGCTTGGGCAAGCTCATACAGTTTTTCAAATAATGATGTCCCAAACAATTTAGGACTTTAATCATCCAAATTAATACACTGAATTTGGCACAGAAATGAACAGGCAGGCAATCTTATTGATTTCTAATAGGTATGACCCTTGCACCCAGCTCCCACACCTAGCTGACATATTCTCTATTAATCTACTTTCTGAACAGTCTTCATGGGAAGCCCCATGCAAAGAACATTACAGTAATCTAACATAGGTGTACTGAAAGTGTTTGCCACTATGGTTAATTCACCTCTCTCCAGCTAGGTCTGCAGTTCCATTTTTATAAAATGTACTCTGTACTAATGATGAAGCCAAATGAAGATTTTGTTTCCTAATAAATAGGATGTTTACAGTTTAAAATACATACACTCCTCACATAAACTCAAAAACCTAAAAAGCGGACAACAATGTAAAAGTGAAATATTACCTCTACTGCCTTCATAGATTAGTTTTTCCTCAGATTCTTCAGAAGATGACTGAACAGTTCTTTCAGGTGAAGATGTTACTTTGGATTTATTACTTTGCTCAGGCTCAAGCCTAGATCTAAAGAAAAAAATAAGTCCACAGCAGACATACTGATGATAACTTGTAGCCATACCTCACTATTACCCATAATCCTGATAGGCTACACATAGTTATCTCTCTACCTTTGTCCCTCACCTCCCCCAGAGGAAAGCTACAGCAGGCTTACCCAAATTGGCCACTGGGGATTCTATATTACAAGGTGACTGAAGCCACTTCCCTTTTGCCTTATTTATGACATCCAAGTTGCTTTAGAGCAACATAACACACATCCTATGAGGACTTTTTAACTCTTGCATAACCCCCAATGCATAACATCTCACTGTGAGTGGCATACCACAACACCCAATGAGTGAAATAACCATTGGTGGCATTCTGTAATATGTAATCCAGCCCATTAGGTAGCAAAAACAGGTTCAGGTGATCATTATACATATATATTAGTTTGTATGCAAATTCTATTAGAATTTCAAGCCCAAAATCCAATCATTTGATTTAAAAGGGATATTACTTACAATCTTTTCTTATCAACTACTCGCTTGACCCGAATTGCTCTTTGTTCTGAATACAGCTTACATACTCCTGTTAAACATACAAAAAAACATGGAAACAAAAGAAAAGGGGAACACATGCACATAAAGGCGGTCCCGCTGGGCTTGATTCAAACAAGCATCCTGATCCCAGCAAGGGAACCTCAGTTGCCATTTATCTATGCTAACCAGAGGTTTTTAGACATAATAGCAAATAGCAAATAAAACTATCCCTCCAGGAATTTGTTTGAATGATTGGCCACCACTTTACTTGTAAGTAATGAATTCCACTATTAATTCACTGGTGCTTTGTTCTGGTTTTTATATGGAGAGAGAATAGTACAGTAACTTTCCCCAAACTGGTGCCCTTGAGATGTGCAGGCAAAAAGAGAGAGCCTTGCTGAAGACCACTTCCATAAAGGCTCCTTCAGATATCAGCACCAGTAGCCATTTCAGCAGATTGTAAAAGGGGAAATGAGAAGGAACACAGGGCCATTTTACCAGTCCTGCTAAAAGAATTAATCCCCCACTCCGCTCCCATAGCCTTGCCTTGATGAATTGTAGCTTTTACCATTGTGGACCAGGACTGTCCTGCTTCATTCATTATATGTAAGGTACCACACAGCAAACTGATTTGTGGGGCAAAATCTTGTCATGCTCAGCAGTGAAGAGTCAACTATTTTTATGCCACTCCTCAGTCAAAAAGACTCCCAGTGTGGTTACTACCCATTTATTCAGCAGGAAAAGTGGTTAGAAATTTTTGTCTCAATGCACATTATATACTTCTATTGAACTATTGCTATTCTGTTGCTATTTTCCCAGGACTTTTCTTGGTGTGTTTAATATTTCAACTTTCTGAATAAGCTAACATTTGCAAACTTAGCTACAGTACTGACCACTCTTGACACAAGACCATATACAAAAAGATTAGAACAAGACCAGCTCCAGTATAGATCCTTGCAAGGTCTAATTATTTACATGTCTTCATTATTAGTCTACATTTATTCTTGCTTTCTGATTCTTAATTAGTTACCGGGATAATGTACAGTGAGTAAAGGAATGATAAAGAAATTCTGTGCCTCAGGCAATAGAAACAATTGCCCTGGGCTAATTCTTCCAAAGTCCTGCTTCCTCATAGCCTTGAATGTGGATTCTCCACAGCTCGATTAGGTTAGTGGGCCAGAGCATCCACATTCCTGACTAAAAGAAATTTAACTGGGACTGTAATTTCACTGGATTCAAAGTGGATAGTATAAGTGAATAGGTCCTAAGATTTTCATATAGAAGGAAGGCAAGAGAGAAAAGGGAGGGGGATACATACGTAATGTAATAACAACATAATGCCAAAAATCAAACTAATACTCCAGTTACTAAATAGGACCAAGATGCTTAATAATGTAATATCTACAAAGAAAGGAAATAAAACAGAAATTCTATTAAGTATGGATGAAATTGTATTGAGGATTTTTTTCCTACAAATGTCTATCAACTACAATTTTGCAACAATACTGCACAGTTTAACATGATCTCATTATTTTCAGAGGACTTGTTAAGGATCCAGAACATTCTGATAAACATTCTGATTATCCAAAACTGGATGATCCTCAACTCCTGTTTGCTTTCTTACTAAAGTCAGTTTAAAAGCTGCTCCACAACTTTTCAGCTCTAAGTTCTAGCAAACTTGTGTTCATTAATGGTCAAGGCGCCTTATCCTTGTATTAAAGGCGCTGCAACTCCGTTTCTCAAGTTGGCTCAGCACATGGAACAGAGAAGCAATTTTGAAAATGGAATAACAGTATATTTTAGCCCAAAGATGAAAAAAGAAAAAATTTGGCAAGGGACTATAAACAAAAGCACAAACTGATCAAGAAAAAGACAATACTTTTTAAGTAGTCTTCAATGAAATCCAAGATAGCTTCTCTGTGCTGTTTCACTTGTGGAGAATGGATGTCCTTGTGGGCTAAAACAAAAAGATACAAACATTAGACTTTGCAGATGACACCTTAAACAAATGACTTAATTTGCCTATTATTTTAATACATTTACCTTCTGTTCTCAGTTGCTGAATTGCATCAGCACATGCTCTCATAAATATTTGGGCATCTTGGTCAATCTGATCCCGCTCAGTGTCTGTCATTCGCACATATTCAGACATGGCATGGCTGTGAAAAACAACTTTAAATTTTATTTTCTTTAATTAAAAAGCCTTGTATTTAGTAAATATCATTTTAGAAAGTCTTTATCACTTTTTGTTCAGTTAGCAAAATAGCTTATCTACCTCAGTATCTCTTCAAATATCATTTTCCACACAAAACCAAGAATGATTTTCTAGTCTTTATCACTTAGGAAGTCTTTTCCCCAATTCCCTCATTTTGTAGTCCAACAATGTTTAATTATAAGTTGCTCTCTGGTGTTACTAAATGTGTGGCATGCCATTTAAAACATTGAGGGAGAAAGCAGCATTTTGTTTCTTTTTTAAATTGGAAAATGATGGCACCCTATTTGTGCAGTGGTCATCTGACCAAACAGACTTATTAGCTCAGCTACTCTGCAGGATGTTTTCACCAAATGCTGTTGTATTACAAATCCCATTAGCTCTAAATTTGTAAGCCGCCCCGAGGCTTCGGCGAATGGGGCGGCATAAAAATGTTTTAATAAATAAATAAATAAATAAATTTTGGCCATGTTGGCTAGGAATGTTAAAATTAAAAACGGAGCCTAGGCAGGAAAGACCAATGAAGATTATAAGCACAGGTCAGTAGCAAAAACTGAAGATAGAGGCTGACAAAGAAGCAGAAATTAAGAAGGCCAAATTCCTGAGCTTGGTGTCCTAAAATGTTTTGGATTACACATCGCAGCATTCCTGATTGCTGGCTGGGCTGATGGGAGTTGAAATCCAATACAGCTGGAGGGCTCCAGTTTGGGGAATGTTGGTATCAGATAACAGAGACCTGGAAGGCATTATTCAGAACAAAAATAGCCAAGCTTTCCAGAAGGCTTCAAACAGAGAACTGTGGTTTAATTGTAAGAAGTCAACAAACTCATCGTGTTTACCTCTCAGCCTCAAATAGCACAAAGCAGTTGAAATAGAGTACTCCATTTTAGCCTCACACAACCCAGTAGGTTAAGCAGAAAGACTACAGCATGCCTAAGACTACCTAGTCAACTTTGCAACTGAGCAGTGATTTCAGCATGAGTTTCCCTAGCCTAACCGATACTTGGCATTTCTGTCCCTTAACCATTTTTTACCTAGGATCATATTTTCAAAGCTATCTATGATGAAGACTTGAAACTGTCTTATTTAAAAAAATGAAACAGAATTATCAGAATTAGAATGTCCATAAGTGAATGGGCTAAACTTTGTCTAAAATTTCTTCAGGGGGTCCTATTGTCTACCTCTCATCTCTGCTTTCAATATAAGCAACATATATAGACACATATTTTACATCTATCTCATTCACTTTCTTACATCATCTCTAAGTAGTATCCTACACAACGCATGCTACCAAATTTCTACTAGATAAACAGTACCACCTAGTGGTGAGCTTTAACCATTCGAATCTATTTCTGAAACAAATTAGGAGGAATTCTGCATGCACAAAGTTCAAAATGATAAAAAGTTTACACTGTTTTCCCCATGGAATCTGTCAGTTTTTCTCTTAAGATTTCAAGCAGCTATCCCTTTGTTTTCAAGTAAATGAATTGGCCTAAATACAAGCTATCTTTTGATTTGATTTTAATGCTTTCTGTCCAATTTCCTATTCCCCTTATATTTGTGCCCTAATCCTAATGAGACTTTCTTTATATTGGTCACTACTTTTTGACTAAAGCAATTTTCAAAGAATTTTCTCTCTTAAATCTGACAGCTCCTCTACAAGCTACAGTAAGGAACAGAAAAAGGGATAAGCTGAGCTTTGTGTGTGTAGGGAGGAGGGATGAAGTTAAACTGGTTGTTCACTAATCCCTTGCTCATTGTTTAATTAATTTATTCCCAAAGGTGACTCTTTACATGGAGCTGGTGGTAGCAGCTTCCCAGTACACTGGTAGAAGGGAATAAGGGTCAGCAGCTATCTCATTCCATCATGACAGAATTCAAACATGTTTTCCAATAACCAAACACTGCTTTCTGTGTTAGTATATCTTTTTTGCTTCTAATCGAGGGAAAAACTATTTACCATTCTTACACAACAAGCATATGCCCAATGTTCAATAATGAGACTAGAAACTGGGACAAAAACAGTGTCTTCTTTCAAAGAATATGGCATCGGGGTGTGAATTCCAGTTCCTATTTTTCCATCACCAACCCACTCTGTACCTGACACACATAATACTTACCTATAGGCATTAATGTAATCTTTCCTGTGCTGCAGAAGAAAATCTTTCAGTTTCCCAATGTTATTGACCTAAATAAAAAAGTATGAATTAAAGTATATTAACAGCCAGGCATAATAAGAGTAGGTGACAAAGGTCACTCAGGTTGAGTTTATGTATTAATTCCAGCAAGGGAGACCAACTCCTATCAACCACTGCTGGACAACCACACTTTATTTAGGAAAAGGTAAGATAATCTTAGATAGCAGTCTCCCTTGAGGAATGATTTCTCATCACATCAGAAATGAAGAATCAATAGAAACTGTTTGCAGCATGTTAGAACCAAGGCAACTGCCACGCTCCTGGAATGTAGCAGCCAAGAAGTTGCTGCCCTGCCAACGTTCTGTACACTTCCCATTTAGAATCCATAAAGAAACCAATTACCTGCTAAGACGGGAAATTCTAAGTTTGGGCATTCTAGGAATGTTGGAACTGTTATGAATAGGTATACATGTTCAAAGCATCCTGGAACAGTCAGAGACAAAAACTTAGGGAACCAGGGCCCAGAAAAGCCAGTATTTAAATTATTGTAGTATTTAAATCTTCACAGGCAGCAGGATCCTTCTCTTTTAGATTACTTAAACAACCACCCGTTATCTCCAGGTTGAATTTGTTAATCTTAGTGAGGCATTAGGAGCTTTCATTTCACAGTCTAATTGTGGCCATTGCCTGGCTCATCCCATCCCCAAGAATACCATATGTATCTGCTCATAAAGAGGTATCAGTGAATAAAGAGACACCCAGCATCCAGAAGTGATATGTATCTTTTTGAAAGTTTCTTTCTTCTTTGAGGAACCAGTCTGCAAATGCACTATTGAACAGTGTGTTCAAAGGACAAAAGGAAGCACTTTGGATGTGCAAAAGATAGACAACCTTATTTTTTTCCTTTAACCAAGTCAGGCACAATCTTCTTAAGAGGTTCACCATATAATCTATCATTTTAAACAGGAAAGCCTCACATAAGGGCCTTTTTAAGGACTGAGCCAAGCCAATACTCTTGTGGGCACAGTATAGGAAGAGTCAAGAAGATGTCCAGAAGCAAGCAAACAGGCAGACCTAAAGAACTATTAATGCAGCAGTTAGATTTTCTTGGACTGAAGTCATCCAGCCATGAGAAATCCTAAACAAGGAGGACCAACTGGCAGATGTTTTGAGATATAAGCAGTATATAGCAAAATTCCTTTTCAGACTCCTAATTTATGTCCCACTCTTTAATAACAAGGGAAAATGTAAGACTAAAACTGTGGAAGGTTCCTGGGAGAAATAATCTTAATTTATCATAGAAAAAGTGCAGTGTTTAAATGTAGATTTATTAACCTGGGAAGATGTGGATGGCCATGTCTTTTAAAAAATGTTCAAAAGCAATACATTTTGTGGGGAGGGCAGGCCACAGAGTAATTGTGGAGTGGGGTAGATATACACCAACCAGAAACTAAATACCTACAGAATCACAGCACTTGGAAGGGGCTGTTTAGGCCACTGCTGAGTGGTGGAATTTGTTTAAAGCTGCCCTAACAGACTGCTGCCCAAGTCTCTTCCTGAATCTTTCCAGCAACAGAGACCACAGCAGTTGGTCCCACTGTCCTACTACTCTGTCCATAGGCTAATATATTCCAAGAATAAGCATTAACTCTGAATAAAATAGCACTTCATACAATTAAAAAAAATGTCGCTGACAACAACATTGGAAGGTTGGAGCAGGGTCACGTTTTACTGAACAGTTGGGTTGAATACTACTTGCACACATTTCCTTTTCTTTCCACAATTAAAAATGTCCAAAACTTAAAAAAAAAAAACAGAAGAAAACTGAAAAATTCATAGTGGGCTCTGCAATATCCCTAGTTTAGCCCTCTTTCCACTTCCTGCCCCATGGCTACACACTTGAAAAGCCAGATCTTGCTTAGGTGTGCATTGCACAAACTGACGGCTAGGAACTGAGCTTGAAGAAGTAGTTTGATCTGGCACAGAATTTGCTTAAAATACCAAAAGTTAAATACTGAGTTCAAATACATAAATAAATCAATCCAAACTCTGAGAATTATGAAAACATCGTATAGGAAGAAATTACTAGAAAATTATGGTTTGGCAGTTGGGAGTATTGGACTGGGAAACTGATAAAGTCAAGGTTCTATTTCCTATCTATCTATCTATCTATCTATCTATCTATCTATTTAAAACATTTCTATGCAGCCCCATTCGCCGAAGCCTCAGGGCGGCTCACAACATACATTAAAATATAATACATTAAAAATATAAAACAAATTAACAATATAAAATAAGTTGCCCTGGCCAGATAAAATAAGCTAATAATATTAACAATTAAAATGATGTTTAAATAAAAAGGTCTTTGCCTGGCGCCGAAAAACAAATAACGACGGTGCCAGGCGGACCTCTCTGGGGAGCGCATTCCATAGATTGGGCGCCACCGTAGAGAAAGCCCTCCTCCGAGTACCTACCCTCCTAATTTCTTTCATGGAGGGTTCCCGGAGAAGGGACTCTCCCGCAGATCTCAAGGGGTGGGCGGGCATATATGGATGTAAGCGCTCCTTCAGGTAACCGGGACCCAAGCCGTTTAGGGCTTTATAGGTCATCACCAACACCTTGAATTGGGCCCAGACTTCAATGGGAAGCCAGTGAAGCTGACGGAGGACTGGAGTCATGTGAACATAACGCCCAGTCCCCGTCAGCAGCCTGGCAGCTCTATTTTGAACCAGCTGAAGTATCCGGACCGTCTTCAAGGGTAGCCCCACGTAGAGCGCGTTACAGAACTCAAGGCTTAGTCATGAAACTCATGAAATGAGAAAGGGTGGGATATAAATGCAATATAATAGTAATATAGGAATAGTAGTATCACAGTGCAATCCTATGGATATCACACAGAGTCTTGACCATAAGAAAATCTGAAGTCCGATTCAGGGGGAATGGTGACTTGATGAAGCAGCAGTGAATGTTGCTGCTTTCTACCTTACCATGTTTGGGTGATTACAAATCATCTTGAGGGGTGTTTACCTCTCTAAATGACAGGTGAGCATCAGGACTCTTGGTCTACAGCTCTGATTACATCAAGAAGGCCTGATAAGGTAAAACTGGAAGCAGTTAACAAGTTGACCCCCCACATACTTACTCCTTCTTTCTTTTTATCTTTTAGTTTTTATTATTTCTTTTTTATTATTTCCAAGAGAATAACACACCAATTTGATGCAGCATGAACTCTTAAGGCATTTTTGCTTGCATATTTTAAAGGGACTCTGAAACGGATAATCTTTTGTTGATAGATGGCATCTCATCTGCAAAGCTGTTCAATGTTTCTACTCTCGAACTAAGAATTATGAACACTGTAAACTGACCTTGGTATGAAAATACTGGCTGTGGAAACTTTTGTGCCTAGTTGTGCCTTTTGAATTGAGAAGGAGGACATTGGTGCTTTTCACACAGCTGAGACTTGAGGTTGTGATTTTGGTTGTGATGCAGATTTTAAGGTTTTTCTGTTTCTCTGCTCAGAAAGGACTTTGAAAGGGGTACTCTTCTACGTAATTTTCCCACTGTAAACTGTTTAATATTTTTATTCAAGAAACCTGGACTTTATAAATTTACTTTGGCTGAAGCTCTTCTGTCCCCCTTCATCGCCATTTTTAAGGGAGTTGCTGGTTGTTTGAACCGGGCAATTCTTTGTTGTTGTTGTTTTCATCTAAATTGTACATGATTTGCTCTAAGGAACAATTGTATGTCCCTGATGGGACTTGGGGGCTTTTTTTGCTGGTCCTGACTCTGCTTAAGAATAATGAATAAATAATCCTAAAGAACAAAGAACAACCATGAAGTACTATGAGAAGATCATTAGCTCTACCAATTGGACCTGGAAAAGACTGGAAGTCAACGCCCCTTGCTATGAAAGTTGGAACAATGTCTCTTCTTAACAAACTAATTCAAATTAATATTTTAATAGAGATAGAATGGGACTAATAATTCTAATGTTAGTAGAAGACTAACTAACTAGCTTTATCCACTTTCACCTTTCGTCCTTTTTCTTTCTCTTCCCCCTCCACCTCTTTTCTTTGTTTTTTTCCTCTTTTTTTCCTTCTTTCTTGACTCTCCCCCCTAACTCTTCTGCTTTAAGCTGTACTGTCAAATTGTAGTTTACTTATAGGTATGAAGAAATGTGAAAAGTGGAAGTGCGGAAGAGCAGAGAAAAAGAGAAAAGAAGAATTAATGTGAGAAGGAAATCTGAATTGGACGCTGAAAAGTTGACGACAGATTTAGAAAGAGATAGTTGTGTGAGCTCCTAAGATCAAGTTTTAGAGACAGTATGAAGATATTATCAATTAAAATTAATGCACTGAATTTTTCTTTTAAGAAAATTAAAGTAGTTTTTCATGAGTCTTAAAAATAAAGTGTCACAGTGCCTTTCAGGGAATATGTCAGAGTTAGAATTATAGCTGGTTCTGGATGGAGATCATCAGAGTTCCCAACAACTGGAAAATAGAGAAATGGACTGGTGGAATACACTGTTTAGAAGATTGTTAAGAGGAATGTGCAGCATAACTGGCTGTGAGGTGTTAAAAACAGGGAAAGCTGCGAAGGATCTGAAGTGACTGGAGGATTTGTTGCTGTATAGATTATGGATTTCTTTTGCGTTACATTTGTATGGAGTGTTGATGGATAGATTTTGGGGGCTGATCGTACAGGTTGCATTTGTATCAAGCTCACTCTGTTTATCATACAGTGGTACCTTTGCTTATGAATGCCTTGGGTCACGAACAAAAATTTCATGAAAATTTTGACTTGGGTCACGAACTCCGCTTTGGGTGGTGACCAAGATCGCAGCCATCTCCCCACCCCCCCGAGTGGGGACATGGCCAGGATCGCAGTCACGCTTGTTCAGGGAACGCATGCGTGATCACGGCTGTGCTGTGCTGCGCCCATCTTTCCTGCAGCAGCGCGCGCGTGATCACGCACGTCTTCCCTGCATGAACAAACTTGGGGGGGGGGGGATGACCGCACTTGGGGGGGTTGGGGGGGGGGGGAAGATGAC